TTTTTTAAAATTTTTTTAAATAATTTTAATGAATATTTACAGAGAATTTGGATTTCCATTCATTCATTGCTGCACTTCTCGCCCTGCCCTCTTCCCCCGCCCCCCAGTTCGTTCCTCTCTTTAAAAAGTAAAAGAAAGACTCCCTCCCTGGTACACAATCCCCCTGCACCCCTCCCACCACCCCAACTGTGCAACCTTAATTGTGGACTCTTGTGATAACCATAATACCCTATCATACATCGCTTTTAAATTATTCAGTCCTCATCTGTTTTAGTGTAGTATATACAATTTATCCAGTTTTTTCTCAGTCTTACCCCCACCCTGATATCAGTCCCATTTTACAACAGAGACACCATGCAATATTTGTCCTTTTGGGACTGAGATATTTCACTCAGCATAATGTCCTCTAGGCTCACCCATTTTGAATAATATTGAATGAGTTCCTTGTTTTACAATGCAGCATAGTATTCCATTGTGTGACTATACCACAGCTTCTCTACCCATTTGTTTGTTGATGGGCACCTGGGTTGTTTCCAACTCCTTGCTATTGTGAACAGAGCTGTGATAAACATGGGTGTGCATATATCTGCTTAGATGTCAGTTATGGTCTCTTTGGGATATATTCCCAGTAGTGGAATTGCTGGGTCAGTTAATCACAACTTTTAAAGCAGCTTGATTCTGATGCCTTTTTGATACTTTGAGGGCTATTTTTTACCACCACCATTTTGTTCATTTCTTTGTTGATTGCTGTCAAGCTGGAAACTGTGTCACCAGTGTTTCAAATATGAGCAGACTCTCCCATGGTGGATAGGGTTCCATGCAGCTTCCAGACTTCCACAGCCTAGGCTGAAAGACTGATTGATCTACTCCTGTTGTTGTTGTTGTTATGTGCCGTCGAGTCCCTTACGACTCATAGTAACCCTTTGTACAACAGCCCTAAACTCTGTTCTGTGCCAATCACACCATCTCCATCACACCCATCCCGATTACCCCAGTCACTGACTCAATCCACCTCATAGAGGGCTTTCCCTTTTGCATTGTTCCTCCACCCTACCAAGCATGATGTCCCTCTCCAAGGACCGGTCCCTCCATACAACATGTCCAGAGTATGTTAGACGGAGCCTCAGAATCCTTGCCTCCAAGGAGCCACCAGGTTTGACCCTTTCCAGGATGAATCTGTTTCTTTTCCTAGCAGTCCAT